CAGCTCGGCGGCTCGGCAGCAACTGCAGCTCGGCGGCTCGGCGACCCGGCGGCTCGGGCGGCTGAGGTGGCGCTGCAGCTCGGGCGGCTCGGGCGGCTCGGGTGGCTCGGCACTAGCTCGACAACGCCGGCGGCTCGGTGGTGACGGCGGGGCTGCTTGGGGACGGCGGCGGGGCCGGGTGGAGCGGCGACGGGGCCAGCAGAGGCGGCGCCGGGGCCGCAGGGTAGGCGACCGGGCCAGCAGAGGCGGCGCCGGGGCCGGGAAGGGCGGCGCCGGGGCCGGGAAGGGCGGCGTTGGGGCCGGCAGAGGTGGCGCCGGGGCCGGGAAGGGCAGCGCCGGGGCCGCAGTGGTAGGCGACGAGGCCAGCAGAGGCGGGGCCGGGTCGGGAAGGTCGGCGTCGGGGTCGCCGGGGTAGGCGACGGGACCAGCCGAGGTGGCGGCGGGGCCGGGAAGGGCGGAGCCGGGGCCAGGAAGGGCGGCGCTGAGGCCGCAGGGGTAGGTGACGGGGCCACTAGGGCGGCGGATCGGGGCCGCGAGGGCGGCGCGACGCGGCCGCTAGGGCGGCGCGACGGGGTAGCGGGGCCGCGCGCCTCGGGGCGCGCGCCAGAAAGAAAATCGCCGCGCGCTAGGTCGCACGCCACGGGGCGTGCGACAGATCGAGTAGCAGCGGAAGCAGTAGTAGGGCCTTAGGAACAGTTCCCACGACGGAACCTGCTCGATACCATGAGAAAACTGAAACGAGGATGAATGAATTATGAATGAAGTGGGTACAAGTACTAACCCTAATTGGGTTGTACCCCCTATGGGATACCCCACTACAGCCTACACAAAAGTATAAGCTATAATGTTCTGACAGCGGGATATAAGCCCCAAAGCCCGTGCCGCGGTAATTCTCTCCGAAAGAGGTTTGTAGAGGCGGGTTCAAGCGATAGTCGCAGGAGGTTGTCACTTTCGCGGGTGTTGCTAGAAGGTCCCACGATCAATGGCGAACAGCACCACGTCCTAAGCACGACTCTGCACTAGGCAACCTGTAATGCACTTTCGAAGGAGTCTCTCGTAAAAATATTACGACCTGATTCCTGGAATTGTTCCGACACCCATTCACGCACCCAACCGATTCCTCTCTTTTCCTTCACATCTTGGTTGTAGCTGGTTTTAATGGCGGCGGGACCTACAGATTATGTGAAATTCGTGACTGATAATGACCTCAAAGACCTCCTTGACGCCTCTGAGCCGTTGCTAGTCGTGGCTGCGGTGTTTAGTGGTGGGAATGACCGCTACGACGATCGCCAACGACTTCAGTTCACTTTTGGTAAGACTGCTGAAGGCTTCTTAGGAGTCGTCGAATTTGTCATGATTGACGTTGACAAGTATCCCCTCGTCGCCAATATTGGCGACCTGAGGACAACGCCCACTGTGTGGATCTTCAAAGGGGGAGACCTTGTGAAGAGTTTCATGGACAACGTCAGCCAAGATGATCTCTTTAAGAAAATTGAGCGAGCTCCAGTAATCTCTCAAGTCTAGTACGGTTCAGATGCTCATTGATTGTACCGTAAGCCCCCGGATAGAAGCGCAGGCCTCGGATAAGCGCTGGCGCTTATAAAAGGATGAGGGCGCTTATATCCGCTCCTCGATTATAAGCGCATGCTTCAAGCCTTACGGATTATAAGCGCACCCCTACTACCTTACACATTATAAGCGCCACTATTTAAAAAATTAGATTTTTAAGTTTTGAGCTGTTACAATTAGTATCCTACTGCTATACTACGTTTTCTCTAAATATCCGACTACATCTTCGCATTTTCTACATTTTCTACCACATTTTCACGTCCTTCACTTTTCTACTCTACCTACACAACCTAGGCATCCTCCTCAGCAGTTGCGGTGCCTTCGTCGGCGGTCTCACCGTCCGACTCTGGCTCGTCTACGTTGTTGCAGCAGAATCTATCTGCTGCAATCTCGTCGTCAAGATCCACTTCGCCTTTGACGGCGTCCCGCCGGTGCTGCAGGCAGAGACCGTCCTGAGACCCGTCCAAGGCGTTACTGATGCCGCAGGTCAGAAACGAGCGCTCAATCAACTCCTTGGGCACCGGCTTCCAGGCCTTGGAGATCCACTTGAGCGTCAGCTCTGGTGGTGGCTTGCGGATGTTGCCTGCCACACGTAGAAAGATTCATCAGTTAGAACAGGATCAATCATTGAAAAACCATCAGTCCTAAATCATAAATCTCACCTCTTTCAGTCAGGCAGTCAACACCCTCGCTCTCGAACCATAACTGGTACTGTTGTCGCACAGCTGCTTTGAAGGAGCGGTTCACCGCGACGTCCAACGGCTGCACCTCCGATGTGCAGCCAGCAGGTATGACGGCCGGCACGATACGCAGCTCGCTGAATTTCGCCCTCACTTGATCAGTCAGGTGCCCGCGGTAGGAGTCAAGCACCAACATCGCCCTCCTGCTGCGCACTCCGAACCTCGGGTTGACGTACGGGCCCACCGTACCCTCGAGCCACGCGAGGACGCCGTCCGCGTCCATCCAACCGTTGGGATGTGCGGCGACCACGACATCTGCACATCCGCACAACGTTGAGATTGACATCAGTAAAAAAAAACAACACATGCAAATCCTGCCGTGACTGCACAAGCTGCTCGGCTTACCGGAGGGGAAATTCCCCTTTGGAACTGTCTTGCGCTTAAAGAACACCCAGGGCTTGAGCTTCTCGCCGCTGGCGGTGCAGGCGAGCATCACCGTCACGCGTTCCTTTTGATAGCCGCCGCTGCGGATGGGCACGGAGCGGACCCCCACCATCTCGAGAGTGCGTTCAGCTGGCATTTCGAGCCAGAGCGGGGTCTGATCCGCATTAATGATCCAGCGGTTGTCGATTCCGTACTGTCGGCGGGTGTGTCGCACGAACTTCCAGAAGTTTCGCACCTGCGTCTCGCACTCTGGAAGGGACGGGGAGGCAGAAACCATAAAAAAACATTACCACACCACCCTAAACCCTGGCAAAGGGGATAAACAAGAGCGAAGACAACAACACCCACTCACCGGAGGATAGTTTCTGGCCGACACGGGTCTTCGCTCGGGTAGTGAGATTCCAGCGGCGCCGAAAACGCTCGGTCCACCTCTGAGATCCCGTCCACTTTACCTCAGGATGTAGGCTCTTCATCACCTCTCGCGACCACTGCTGCACGCGGCTGACCGACACTGCGAGGCACTTTTTTCGGGCGGCAAGTACTCGTGAGTAGACCTGGATCTCCATGTCGCGGTACCACGACGACCGACCACGCCCATGAAGACGCTTGCGAGCCCCATGCGCGCCCTCCAGCTCACCCTTCCGCGATTTCCATTCTGCCAGGGACTTTCGGGAGATACCAGAGTCGCATGCCATCTTCCGCACACTCACAGCACCGGACTCCAGCTGTGAAATCCAGTGCAGCTTCTCCTGAGAAGTATAGGAGTGCCGCTTGTGCCTTGAGCGCCTGCTCCTGGGAGACGGGGGGCGGGAATCACGATTCTGGGTGCAGGGGTGGGGCCTTCTTTTATTGGGCGGGGGAAAACTTGGGACAGGCAAGTCCTCGGGAAGACCGTCGGCCGCCCACCACTCAACATCGTCTTCGGCACCGGTGGCGGATTCGTCGTGCGGGCAGTCTTCCGGGTCTCCCCAGCGTGGCGAAAGACCGGGACTGGTTTTATCTTCGTCGCTGCGCTCAGGCTCGTGCTCGGGCTCGGAGATGTATGCATCGAAAGCAGAGTAGCCGCGAGGGAGAAGCTGCAGAACGGGCACACTGTTGATGACGAGGATAGGCGGAGCGGGAGGAGCAGGAGGCGCTGGAGGTGCAGGAGGCGCAGGAGGAGCAGGAGGCGCAGGAGGAGCAGGAGGTATTGGCGCTGGACGACTCTGCCACTGGGAGTAATCGGGAGCTTTGTCAGCAGCACCTCGGCGCCTAAAGAGGAAATGGGTGCCTGGTAGGCCCGCCATGGCTAAGGCAGGCCGATGGGAAACAAGAAATCTGAAAAAAACAGGGAGAATGATGCATGTTTGAAACCCTTGCCCGAGACCCCTCCAACTTCGCGGCCCGGGTTCCTCTGCAGGCTAAGGGGAGAAACAGTCAAGATCTCCCCGCAGAGGAGCTGATGTGGTGAGGTCCAAGCGTTGTTGGCAAGGAATCTTGCCGCATATGCCCCGTTTGTGGTTGTACTGCGTCGTGGCTAGCACGACAGTCAGCCCTGATTGGGCAGTCGCACACTAAACTGCGTGTGCGTTGGCATGGGCCAGATTCGGTACGATGAATCTGGCCAGGCGAGCAAGGCGTGGCAGGCGTGATTCCGCGCCTTGTTGGCAATTTGACGCGCGTTTCATGCACAAACTCGAACGTTCTAGATGTGGATTGAATCCCCGTTTGAAAAGGCTTCAAATACACGTAAAAAAAAAACCATTTCAATTTTGACATTTTATAGTCGCCGGCGCTTATAAAATTCCTCAATAAAAGCGCACCCCCTAAAAAACAGTGTTTTATTATAACCCCAGGGGCGCTTCTATCCGGGGGCTGACGGTACTTGCAGACCGGAATGCTATACAGAGGATATTGCATGTGGAATTGGTGTGTCATGTGTTCCTGCTACACTCAACGGCAGTGATGAATGCATTCGATAAATGCCCATACTGTGGCATCCACGCATGCCCCTTCTACGGTAACTCAAAAAGCTGCTGCAAGTTTACCCACCCAATGCCACCCATCCGCTGTAACTGGAGAGATGATGTTGGGCGTGTCATATACACAGTATACGTATGCATATCTAGGCACAAAAAGGGTATTTCAGCGGGCTTGCTCTTAGCATGAGATGCAAATCATCGCGTTACTGGGTATTGAACAAGTAGCAGAGTTTGAGAAAAGGCAGCTTCTTGACTTTCTGTGTAAGCATTGCCTTTACTGTGTGGGTGCTACGGTAGTTATGCAACAACAATAAAAAAAAAGTCAATAATACAGAAAATTACCGTCTTATTTGGGTCCGACTCTTTCCAGTTTGTCTAGCGACTCAGCTGGTAACCACTCGAAGGTATCAGGGGACATGATTCCCCCAGCACAGAAAAAAGCACACTCTGGCTGCTTCTTCTCCCTGTCAGGGTCGCTGCATGTGACTGATGCTGGATCCTTCTCCACCCCTGTTGCTGCCACGATGCTGAGAGAGGGGATGGGGAAAAGGGGGAGTATTGGAATTAAAGAAGGGTTTGCCTATTCACTCCCACTGCTTCTCTTCTTCTCCCTGTCAGGATCGCTGCATGTGACTGATGCGGGGTCCTTCGCCACCCCTGTTGCTGCCACAATGCTGCAATTAAAGGAGGAGGAGGGGGGGAAAGGGAAGCGATTCTTAAAAGTGGCAAAGGTTTTGCCTGTTGCTTTGTCTCCCTGCCACCATCGTTGCATGTGACTTGCGCCGGGTCTTGCGCCTTCTCAACCCCTCTTGCTGCCAAGAGGCTGGGTGGACCCACACACCCTTTCAGGCTCGGCCACGAGGAGCAGCAGAGCCTGAATGGGTGTCCCGGCAGTACTGCACCCAGTACAGCATGCGCCCGTGCCACCACTCAACCACACAGACCCTACCACCCTCCCTCGCCTCCCTTCCCCTTGTTTCAAGCATAGCTGAGTGGGCCTGGAAACCCTTTCAGGCTCAGCCACGACGTCTTAATACGCGCCCATGCCACCGCCCCCATACCCCCCCCACACACACACACATTCATAACATACCGACCTTACAACTCTCCCTTTCTCCTTTGATACGCACAGTTTAGAGCATAGCTGGGCTGGCTCTGAGACCCTTTCAGGTTCAGCCATGACGTCTTGGTATTTCACCGAAAGAAGAGCCCAGCACAGCATGCGCCCGTGCCATGACAACTTGATACTTCACGAGCAGCAGAGCCCAGCACAGCATGCGCCCGTGCCATGTGCATCACACACACGCCCTACTACTCTCCCTCGCTCCCCTCCCTCCCTTTGATACTCACGGTTTAGAACACAGCTGGGCAGGCCGGGAGACCTTCTCAGGTTCAGCTATGACAACTTGGTACTTCACGAGCAGCAGAGCCCAGTACAACATGCGCCCGTGCCATGTGCACGACACACACGCCCTACTACTCTCCCTTGCTCCCCTCCCTCCCTTTGATACTCACGGTTTAGAGCACAGCTGGGCAGGCCGTGACACCTTCTCAGGTTCAGCCATGACATCTTGGTACTTCACGAGCAGCAGAGCCCAGTACAGCATGCGCCCGTGCCACGTGCAGGCGTGGTCTGCAAACCGATTCGCTGCCTCCACCATCTTTAGAACTGCCTTGTCATGCTGCTGCGCCCATATGATTGCCTCGTGCAGGTCTGAAAAACTGAAACACAGTGATTTCAAAGGGTTTTGAACGGTTTCAAGGGGATCAAAGGGGTATGTGGGAGGAAGTGAGGAAGAGGAGGGAGTGGGTTGAGCTGCCTCCACCATTCTTAGCACCGCCTTGTCGTGCTGCTGCGCCAATATGATTGCCTCGTGTAGGTCTGAGAAGCTGAGGGTGGGGAGGGGAGCAAGGGATTGCAAAGTGGTTCAAAGCGGTACAAAGAGTTTACACAGGAGGAGGAGAAAGGAGGAATCGATTGGCTGCCTCCACCATCCTCAGCACCTCGTTGTGGTGCTTCTGTGCCCAGATGATTGCCTCGTGCAGGTCTGAGAAGCTGGAAGAAGGGGTTCACAATGGTTGCAACGGGTTTCAAAGGGTTTCAGAGGGTTTCAAAGGGGTAAATTGGAGTGATGAGAGGAAGAGAGCTAGGAAGTTTGTTAGGCTGGGGATTCAGGAGGACGAAGGGTGAGTGGGAGTGTATCGCCTGACTTGAGACATCGAAAGCTGGACGGAGGGTCCAGAACTTTTGATTCAAGCGAATTGAGGTCGTTTTTGAGGCGCCTAAAAAACGACCTCAATGCAAACTGGACGGAGGGTCCAGAACTTTCGATTCAAGCGAAAGATAATACATGTCTACAATCATCGCAGGCTATAGTGGATTTTAAGCTGACACAAAAAAACGATCTCACTTATAAGTGACTCTGATATAGGCAGCAATCATTGTCGGTTGACAGGCCAGAGACATGGGTGGCAACAACAAGGCAGTGACTCACGTTCGGGAGGTGGCGAGCCAGTGCACCCGATCCTGCAGCAGAGGCTCGTAAAACTGCAGCATGGGCGTGTGTTGCCTTATAATGAGCTGATTGGATCGCAGCACCCCACACGTGCGGCAACTGCCTCCCCCCCCATCTGCCACTATCTGATATTGGTGGGAAAGAGGGATACGACGAGTAAAGGGAAAGATGGGAGGAGTGGAGAACAGTGGAGGAAGGGAAAAAAGGTATGGGAGTGTGCTGCCTTGTGATGAGCTGATTGGATCGCAGCAACCCACACGTGCGACAACTGCCTCCCCCCCCATCTGCCACTATCTGATATTGGTGGGAAAGAGGGATACGACGAGTAAAGGGAAAGATGGGGGGAGTGGAGAACAGTGGAGGAAGGGAAAAAAGGTATGGGAGTGTGCTGCCTTGTGATGAGCTGATTGGATCGCAGCACCCCACACGTGCGACAACTGCCTCCCCCCCCATCCGCCACTATCTGTCACCAGTGGGAGGCAGGAGATGAACAATGGGGAGAGTGCAAAAATGGGAACGAGCGAAAAGCAAACGTGCACGCACCCCCACAGGCACCCATCTGGTACTAACGCATTGAACTGCAGGAAGTTCATCTTCCTGGCGAGGGAAGGCGCAATTTCCTACTCCACACGAGGGAAGGCGCAATTTCCCACTCCACACACAAACCCCCCAACCACCCCCCCAGCAGCACACCTGGTACTTGAACGCGTTGAACTGCTGGAAGATCATCTTCCGGCAAGGAGAGCGAGGTAGAAGGTAGAAGATACAAACACGCACACACACCCCACACGCACCCCCCCGCGCACCCCACACACACACACCCACCTGGTCCCTGAACGCGTTGAACTGCTGGAAGTTCATTTTCCTGGCGAGGAGAGGCGCAAGTTCCTACCCCACCCCCCCAGCACCCACCTGGTACTTGAACGCTTTGAACTGCTGAAAGTTCATCTTCCTGGCGAGGAGCGGTCGTAAGCTCGCACCCCATACTCACAACCCCTCTAACCCCCCCCCCCACACGCACCCACCCACCCACCTGGTACTTGAACGCGTTAAACTGCTGGAAATTCATCTTCCTGGCGAGCCGCACACCGTCCTTAACTATCCTCTTCACCACATGGCCGCCCCGCCTTACCCCACGCGTTGACGGATGCGTTCACCCATCCATTCATACCCACTCACACCACAAGACACACCCCCAGCAACCCACCTGGTACTTGAAAGCATTGAACTGCTGAAAGTTCATCTTCCTGGTGAGGAGAGGTCGCAAGCTCGCACCCCATACTCACAACCCCTCTAACCCCCCCCCCCACACGCACCCACCCACCCACCTGGTACTTGAACGCATTGAACTGCTGAAAGTTCATCTTCCTGGCGAGCTGCACGCCGTCCTTTACTATTCTTTTAACAACAGGTTGCTCCACCTTGGACCACGCGTTGATTCTTGCATCCATCAGGTGGGGCGCAGCGGGGGACATTAAATGCAGGCGGATGCGCGGGTTGGCCCCCCAGTTGCCGGCTGGTAGAAGCTCGTAGTTGGTTGTTTTGCCTCTAAAGACCGCCCGTGATTCCTTCTTCTCCCACGGGATCTAAGAAGCCAGATGGTGGGGTGGAGAAGGATGGGTGGAAGGAGGAAAAGCAGGAAGAAAGAGGGTTGCTCCGCCTTGGACCACGCATTGATGCGAGCATCCATCAGGTGGGGCGCGGCGGGGGACATGAGGTGCAGGCGGATGCGCGGGTTGGCCCCCCAGTTGCCACCTGAAAGGAGCTCGTACTTGGTGGTCTTGCCTCGAAAAACTGCCCGCGATTCCTTCTTCTCCCAGGGAATCTTGGGGGAATGGGGACGTTGGAAGGGAAGGAATGTGGGGTAGAAAGGGAAGGCATGAGAACGCAACACACACAATAACACCACCCCCCTCGCAGACACACATTTTTTCATACCTGAGTGGAGAGATCAGGCGTGGAGGGCCCTGTGAGGTCAATCGTATCTGCGGAGAATCCGGTGCTCATAAAGGGCAGCCAGTCTCTAGCTGGCCGACTGACAACAAATCACCCCCAGTAAGAAAAGGAAGAGCAGGCGATGGTCACACACACACACACACACACACACACACACACACACGCACACACACGCACACACACACACACACACACACACACACACACACACACACACACACACACACACCACCCGGGTGGTGAGGTCAGGCGCGTACGGTACGGCCCTGTGAGGTCAAGTTTTGAGGCGCCTCAGAAATGGCCACACACACACCACCTGGTGCTGAGGTCAAGCAGATGAGGCACAGGGATGTCGATGGTATCTGCTGTGAATCCCGTGCTCATGAAGGGCAGCCAGCCCCTGTTGGGCCGCAAGTCATGCAATAATGGAAGAAAACCCTCCCACCACATGCATGCTTGCATTGCACACGCACCTGGGTTTTGAGGTCAGGCGTGTAGGGCCCTGTCAAGTCAAGTGGGTCGGGGACAGGGATGTCGATGGTATCTGCTGTGAATCCCGTGCTCATGAAGGGCAGCCCGCCCCTGTTGGGCCGCAAGTCACGCCAAAACACCCACCCCACCCCACCCACCCCATCCACCCCCATCCACCTCCATCCACCCACATACGTTCGTACCTGAGTGGAGAGGTCCGGCGTGTATGGGCCAGTCAAGTCAAGCGGGTCGGGAACAGGGATGTCGATGGTATCTGCTGTGAATCCCGTGCTCATGAAGGGCAGCCCGCCCCTGTTGGGCCAGTGCGAGCTGTGGAACGACATGGGGTGGTCGCATGTGTTGAGGAAGAACTCGAGGCGGAGGGAGGAGAGACGGTACTGCGTCACAGCGTCCTGCACAGAAGGTGGATAGGGGATTTGGTTGGAAACAAAGGAGAGGGAGCGACATGGGGTGGCCACATGTGTTGAGAAAAAGCTCCAGGCGGGGAGAGGAGAGGCGGAATTGGGTCACTGCGTCCTGCCAGGTGGATGGATTGAACAAGGGTTAGGGGGAAATGCAGGTAGAGGGGAAGGGCATGGGGTGGTAACATGTGACTGGTATGAGCTGGGGAAGACCATGGGGTGATTACACGCTCCTAGCCTTTGACTGGCGTTGACTACCCTGCCTAGCACCCCTTGACTGGCGTTGACAAACCTGCTTAGCACCCCTTGACTGACGTTGACTCCCATGTGTAGCACCCTTCGACCTGTGTTGACTCACCTGCAGCATCTTGACTGTTTGGAGAAACCTCCCAAGGCGGTAGTAACGGTTCCAAAAGCCACCGTAACGAAAGTACACTTTGCCGTCAATGACCTGCCATGAACAAATGACAGTAACAAAGTAACAGGTGCATCTTCATCTTGGATTAATGGAATTAATCCATTATCCCCCAGAAACGTATATTGTCAGAAAAAAACGCATGTTTACTCAATTTGTATAGAATATTGCAGAAGGAGGCATGCATTGACTTTGAAATGCCCCAAGCGGCTTTTGGGTCGACTCTGAAAGTCACCTACTTACTTTGATATGCCCGGAGCAGGACATGAGGTTTGGTGAAATGCTGATGAACTCGAGAGCCTCAGGCGTCACAAAGCCTCTGTGCCCCAGACCAGCACTGATGTTCTGATGTGTGAGACACGAGTTAGCATGCGAAAGTATGCAATGCGCAAGGGAATCATTGAACTGTTGATGAATTGGAGTGCCTCAGGCATGGCATGGCATGCATGGCAAGATACATGGCATGGAGAAAGCATTCAGATGCACTCACAGCGATGGGTCGCCATGGCTCCAGATACCGGTGAATAAGCTTCAAGTAATTCATTGCTCCTGGCTGCTTCAGAGCCTCTTTTAGCTTGGGAAACTCCGGTATGCGCCCTAAAAAGTCCTTCTCCACCGAATTGAATACCCCCGGAGGCAATTCACATACTCTATGTCTTTTCTTAGCTCCTCCTCCCCCTACCTCCCCACCATCCCCACTTCCATCATCCCCTAGTGCCCCTATTTCTCCTTTTAGCTTCATAACTTCTATCCAAACGTCCAAACCTGCGAGTAGCCCCACTAGAGCCAGCCCCGTTACAAGCACAACGATGGCTGATCCTTGGTCTCTGTTTAAATGCGGACAGCAGGAGCAGACACGCCATCGGGATCTCCTCCCACCACCATCTCCACTCGCGATATTAGCAACCCCGCTCTTATGCAATAAGGGCTTCGTAACAGACGCTTTATTAGCTGCTCCAAGCGTACTGTATGAAGCTTTTCCGTCAGGAGAAGTGCTCTGGCTGCGAGCAGTCATGGAGTCGGCATTTTCAGGGCTTCGAGGATTAGGGGAACGAGAATTGCGTTCAGCGTACGGATGTACATCAGGTTGTGCATTATGCGCGTCACGGATATGTCTATGACGCGGATGGCCATGGTCAATTTCGTCATTATCCGCAATCAACCGCTCGCTAGTGTCAGATGTCAGCCCAGCGAGCTCAGCTGCGTCAGAAGCGGAAGCGTCTGGCCGGGACAATCCACCCCCCACCGTCGGATGCGGATGGGATCGACGGTGAGGACCTGCCACGAATTTCTTTCCAAACAACATGTCGTTCCGCTCCGAAGTATGGCGGAAAAATGCGGCGTCCTTCACGGCGGGAAAAGCGCTAGAACGCCCGACCCTCGTTAGTAAAATTCAACCAGGTCGCTCAATTCAGGTTCAGGTATCAAATTGGTATGCCGTGTCCTGTTTTCTGATCGTAAAAACCTTTACTAAGCTCAGTCACCAGGAGCGATCATCCATTCGCCTCACTGCTGGATATTCCCATCATAACTCGGGTTTCATTCGTCCTGTAGAACCAACCATCATGTGCTGGATTTGGCTCAAAAAAGGTTCTTTCTGGTTCTGCCGACAATCTCAACACTGCTTGGCTGGTCGGTTTGGCCCTCGAGATCTCTCGAACTCACGAAAGCCCAATTCGCGAAATACTTTTTTCGTTTAGAAAGAGCAGACGAACCAGGTTAGGGACACATTTGCTAGTTCCACGAAGGTTACGAGGTCATCACGAAGCTTCGTCATGCGCATAAAGCTTCGTTCGGCTGCGGTTATTGGGCCCGCAGCCACAGCGACCATCGAGCCTGCCCGATTGCAGCCCCATGAGGCTCCCGCTACTCGTCGTACCAAACCTAGAACCTGTAGGTCCGGACAGACATCACGTTCCCCCGAACAAGCAGGCTACTGGCCCCATCAACTGGAGGTTCGGATTTCGAAGGCCTGTTTACGAGGAATCAGGATGCTCTGTGCGCTGTGCTGAGGCTAGGACTGAAACCGAATGTTGACTATAAGTCGCTGATGTTCGTCACTGCAAATGAAACCCGATTCGTTCGCCCGCTACCAGGTCGGACTTCGCTTCGGAAGCTTAGATGAGGGAAAAATAGAACCATTGGTAACAGAAACGATGGGCACTGTTCTGAATGAACTTGCAGAGTGCGCAGAATATAGAATAACGAGAATGATTGAGTACTGAATGACGATTCAATGAGAATGCCGAGGCCTAAATAGGGGAAAAGCTAGCTAGGCGGGGAGGTTGGGCGAGGATGGCTCGGTGATGGTTGCGATTGGAGCGGATGCGACTCGGGAGTGGTTCGGTGTGACGAAATAGGAAGGACAGGTTCGTCGCGTGACCCTCGGGATGGCCTCGCTAACGAGTGCCTCGGTAAAGGACTCTGTAAATCCTTACAGGCATGGGCACCGTAAGTTGCAGCACGTCCTTGTACGTCAAATCCCAGTGTTGGAACAACCGAAAGGTTATATAAAGCATTCCCGAAGTTGTTCCACTGCACCAGTACCGGAATAGCTCATATGGAGCATGCGGAATGTCGAGAGTCACCCGAAGATCAACCGTCTGAGAAAGTCAGCGGTCGTGACCCTTGACAATCCAGTAACCGTGCGACAGTTAATTCATTGCAACATGGTAACTGTCGAGGATAGCAATAGTCACGGTTACTGTAGCTATGCAATACAGTTAATAAGGGAATGTACCCTTAAGAGTACATGGCTAGCTAGTTTTCTATTTAATCCCTTGTACTCCTATCTGTCAAACATTATATATGTGATACTTGTGTAGGCTACAGTGGGTTAGCCTATAGGGGGTACACAATTCTAGGGTTTACTACTTGTACTCTTTTCACTTCTAGTTGATCCATTCCTGTTCGCTTATTCTCACATGGTATAGAGCGGGTCCTTCTACGGACCGTTTTTTTGGGCCCACCGAAGCGCCCCCCGAGGCGCGATCTCTTTTTAGCGACCCCTCGGGTCGCCATTTCCCCTGCGGCCCCGCCGCCTTCACTGACGCGGCCCCGCCGCCCTCTCTGTCGCGGCCCCGCCGCCTGCTCTCACGCGGCCCCGCCCCGGCTCCTTCGCGGCCCCGCCGCCTGCTCTACGCGGCCCCGCCCCGGCTTTCACGCGGCCCCGCCGACGGCTTTGTCGCGGCCCCGCCCAGGCCCTTACGCGGCTCCGCCGCCTGCTCTCACGCGGCCCCGCCCCGGCTCCTTCGCGGCCCCGCCGCCTGCTCTCGCGCGGCCCCGCCCCGGCTTCTACGCGGCCCCGCCCCGGCTTTCACGCGGCCCCGCCGACGGCTTTGTCGCGGCCCCGCCCAGGCCCTTACGCGGCTCCGCCGCCTGCTCTCACGCGGCCCCGCCCCGGCTCCTTCGCGGCCCCGCCGCCTGCTCTCGCGCGGCCCCGCCCCGGCTTCTACGCGGCCCCGCCCCGGCTTTCACGCGGCCCCGCCGACGGCTCTGTCGCGGCCCCGCCCAGGCCCTTACGCGGCCCCGCCGCCTGCCCCCGTCGCGGCCCGGTCACCTCCTGACGGCCCCGCCGTCCCTTCGTGACGGCCCCGCCGTCCCTTCCTGACGGCCCCGCCGTCCCCTCCTGACGGCTCCTGCCGTCCCCTTCTACCGGCCCCGCAACTGCACCTGCTGGCCCCGCCGCTGCACCTACCGGCCCCCCACCACCCACCCCCCCTTTTCCCGTCGCCTGTCGAGGCGACCTGAGAGGCCAGCAGAGGGGTGGCAGGTGTGTGGCCTCCCCTGCTTCTCCTCCTCCTTCCTCTCCCACTGCAGCAGCCGAGCCGCTCACCTGCAGCAGCCGAGCCGCCCCACAGCCGAGCCGCCCTGCCGCCGAGCCGCCGGGTCGCTGAGCTGCTGAGCTGCAGTTGCTGTCGAGCCGCCCTGCCGCCGAACCGCCGAGTCACCGAGCTGCTGAGCTGCAGTTGCTGCTGAGCCGCCTTGCCGCCGAGCCGCCCGAGTCGCCCGAGCCGCCGAGCCGCCGAGCTGCCGAGCCGCTGAGTCGCCGAGCCTACTCTTCCCACCACTGGTGAGCTCTTGCCCTGCTAGCACGCTGAGCGTCGCCTGCTTGCCTGCCTGCCTGCCTTTTGGCTTGCCTGGCTGCCTGTCTCCCTGCTGCTAGTCCTGCTCCTGCTTCTACTTGCGGAGCCAAATGCAGCCCCAGCGACGCCGGCGTGAGTCCCTCACGCCCCAGCAGCTGCGTGAGTGGTACGCTGGTTGGGGCTGTAGGGGTGGCGACGCTACTCCTACTACCACTCCTGCTGCTTCTACTCGTGGTGGCGGCCAGATGCAGCTCCCGCGACCCTCTCGCGTGTCTCTCACGCCTCGCCAGCTTCGTGAGTGGTACGCTCAGAGTGGAGGGTCTCTCAGTGCTGTTCGCTGCTCTTACGTGATTCGCACTGGTACTCGGACTGGTCAGCCTTGTGGGACACGTAGTCATACACCGTCCCGCTGCTTCGCCCGTCTGAGCGACGCCTGGCGTACCGTGTTTGGCGACGAGGCTGAGCTTCCCGACTGGGTGGAGTTGCTTAGGCAGAGGGTAGATATATATGCTCTTGACTATGATGCTATTCTCACTGCCATGTATGCATTGCCTACTAGTGCTGACCGTGCCGGTCACCTGTGCGTCCCGCCTGACCCAGGTATAGGACCTGCTGCTCTAGCTACTGGTGAGGCTGCTGCTCTGGGTGCTAGTGAGTCTCTTGCTCCAGGTACAGGTGCGGCTGCTGCTCTAGGTGCTAGTGAGTCTGCTTCCTTAGGTGCGGGTGAGGCTGCGCTCTCAGGTACCGCGTTGGCTTCGGCCTCCCTCACCTTTACACTTGACTCTGGGGCTTCCCGCTCCTTCTTTCGGGACCGCACCACACTCACGCCGCTTGGTCGGCCGGTTGCAGTCTCCCTGGCTGACCCCTCTGGGGGTCCTGTCCTCGCTCACTTCTCCACTGTCCTCCCGTGTCCGGCTGCCCCCTCGGGCACCCTGTCTGGCCTGTACCTCCCCTCGTTCTCGACGAACTTGGTGAGTGGTGCAGACCTACACGATGCGGGGGTTCACCAGTTCACTCCTGCGAATCAGCGGGTGACCCACTGCACGGACGCACGCACAGGCCTGCACCTGGCCACGTTCTCGCGTCGACCGGGGTCGAGCCTCTACACCCTGACCACTGAGTCTCCTCCTGTCCCCGCGTCCGGTCAGGTAGCAGCGTCGGGTCAGGTGTTTGCTGCTGCGTCCAGGTCTGGTCCTGAGTCTGCCCCCTGTACTTGTCGCCTCCTGTCTCACGAGACTCTCCTGTGGCACCACCGTCTTGGCCACCCCTCCTTGCCCCGTCTTCGGAGCATGGCTTCCCGTGTCCTTGTCTCTGGTCTTCCCCAGTCTCTCCCTCCTCTCCCCTCCGGGCCAGGACCTTCCTGTGTCCCCTGTGTCGAGGGTCGCCTCCGGGCTACTCCTCACTCCTCCCACTTCCCCCCGACAGAGGCTCCCCTGCAGACGCTTCACATGGATGTGTGGGGCCCAGCCCCCGTCCGTGGGCAGGGTTACGAGCGCTACTTCCTGTTGGTGGTTGACGACTACTCGCGTTACACCACAGTCCTCCCCTTGCGCAGCAAGGGTGAGGTCACTGAGGTGCTGATCGACTGGATCCGCGAGGCTCGTCTCCGGCTCAGGAAGAGCTTCGGCTCGGACTTTCCTGTTCTGCGTCTGCACTC